TGAAATCGGTAATTTTAGAGAGTATACTTCGTATTTCGATGCATCGGACACGTAAAAATAGTTATCAATGGAATGGCAATGGAGACACGACAATTAGCGTAAGGTACATTTTTCTATTATTTACGGCATCGAAATAATTTTAACAAAATTATGTTGATTTTAGTTCCTACTTCCACAAATCGAACAAACGATCCAATTTTTTCTTCGCGACGATTATCAAACCATACGGCGTTTCTCAATATTATGACGTCAGTTAATCTATTAATTAATGCATTTAATCGTCGCTTAAATTAAAAAAAAAGATAGGAAGGTCAAGTTCTATTTTGTCGCTGATCTAGTCATGTAACCGGCAGCATCTTGCGCCTTGATCCTCGTAGATAGCAAGTTTAATCTACGAATATTATATATCAATTAATGTAACGCGCTGGAACATTTCTTTCAGTTGCATAGATAATTAGATAATTAATGTACAATATTTTTTTCTTCCATAATAACGTAACTATGACAAAGGATTCGCATGTTATCGCGCTCTAAGATAGCGTATTTGGACGAGTTGACCAGTGTAAAAGTTACTTGTCGATGTTCAAATCGATTCCGGCATATAACTGTCAGTTCTCAAGGCAAATTTTTTGAACCTTGCAATTATTCACCTGCTCAACGATCGAAAAAAGTGATTAATTAATTAATTATATATAATACCTGTAATTGTGTGTTGTTATGTAAGTCATATCGAAACGGCTAATAAACGCCAGCTTATGTAAACGTATATATACGGAGCCACACGTGCCAACTTATGTAACCCATGTATAAATAGGGATAAAACTAGTTTCATTTATGGTAAAGACGTCTTAAACTATTTTAAGTTTTTTTTTTCCTTTTAGTTAGAGTTATTCCTCATTTCGAAAATACCGACGTTCTATCTGTTACTTTCTTCAAGTAATTAACAGTAAAAATAAGGGCAAAGATCGAAGAATTAAGACAACCGCCGTAATTCTATAAAAAACTTTCCATTAGATGTTTTATTAAAATTGAAAAAACGAACATTGCACTACAATGTATAGGAGTACTTTTGAATTTTAATTGTTCTGAATTTAAGGATCGAATTACTTGAAATATTTTTCTTTATTGCGCCGGGACATTTCGAATTCACTAAGCCCCAAACGTTTCTTCGCGCATCCATTATGTAATCGGTTATGCACGGGACGTCATCGTTTTGTACCAGAACCGAATGACACTGCGCCTGAAAGGACAGATCAATCAATTATTCACAATGCGGCTTTTAGAGGGGATTGAATTAAATAATTTACGTTCAAAGGAAGCTTAGTGTCCCATCGCACGCTGGCTCTCTCCGAAGTCATAAAATAGTGCAGGCCGTCTTTTAAATCGCTCAACAGGCCCACGGAAGAGCCTAATTTCTTCCCAAGCCAGGTCACCGTTACATTTTGTACTCCCTAAAATAATATCATTAAAAAAAATCTACGAATCATTTTGTCCGCATTTTCTCGAAGATTATTATCGAAAATGCGGACAATAAAAAAAATCATACACAGTTGCCTTGTCTGCATTCTTATTTAAAACTTGTATAAAAAATTGTCGATAGATATGGAACACTGCTGATGTGTATATCAATTCAGTACGACGAATAATACCGAAAAATAATTTGACTTGGCACGCACGCGTGAAGGTGTTATTTGTAAAACGCCATCCGTCCTAATCATTTCCAGATCAATGCTAAACAGATCGTGCGTATCATGCCCCGTCATGTATAAGGTCGAACTCCTCCGAGAAACAGCGAGGTCGATGGATTCCACGCGAGGAATTTCGGGTCCGTGTAACATTCTCAATTTCCACCACTTGCGCAATCCTGGAATTTGTATCGCAATCGACACAAAAACTAAGAATAATTTCTGTGGCGCCTCATAAATTTTCCTCGAATCCTATCTAATGTAAGTAAATTACCCGAGCTATAAACGACGATCGTTTCGTCACCGGCGTCCGCGATATATCCACAGAATCCCCATTGATCTTCGAGCGGATCAATCACGAGAGACCTTAATCGCTTCGAAGACACTTCAGTTAACTCGGTAGATGATACCTTTAAACATTTTTTAAAAATAGATGGAACCATTCCAAATATTTATTCATCTTTAGAAATAAAATCCAAGCTCGATGATTCAAGATTAAATAACGTATTATTTTATCACATTAATCAATCTATTAATAGCAAAATTCTGTCATTTTATAATTTCTGTAAATCGCACTTTGTTTTATTAAATTTTAAATTAAAGTTTAATTCTCTACATGCTGACTACGTGTCGTATTTCTCAGAGACCAGCCCATATTTTTATTTATAACTTTGTTAAAAGTACAAAAAATCTTGTTAAAAATATAAAAATATTTCTGGACGAATTTTTTTGTGGAAACTGCCGAACATCGTACGAACAAAATAAAAATTCAAGTCTGCTTGCTAAATTACGAAATACAAACGTTAAATTTAAAC